TAACTTCAGAACAGTTTCTATTAGATTTAGCTCTAATGTATGACTTGTTGCATGAACATGGTTTACTGTCAGAGTATCTACAGAAACGCACGACTTCGATTGTGTATGATGACAAACTGATTCATCGGTGCATAAGGTCATTGCATGGACTAAAAGAGAAACCTGGCACTAGAACTTTAGACGCTCAAAAGGCAATTGAAAAGGGGGAAGTTTGTAGGAATTACCGTAACAAGCAACAAGAATATTGTCTATAAATTATCAACAGTTTCTTACTATTCTTGTGAACAATTTACAGCACCGTATGTTCACGACAACACCCATGAAAGGCTCTCAAACTTCTGTAACTCAAAGTATGTATAAATCATTGCTAAGTAAAATGTGTGTCCTTGAGCACTTATATTGGGGAGCCGGTCAGCCGAGCGGACAGCACGCTGGACTTGTGATCCTGTGGTCCCGGGTGCTGGAGAGAAACAATGGGCAGAGTTTCTTTCACCCTATGCCCCTGTTACCTAGCAGTAAAATAGGTACCTGGGTGTTAGCCAGCTGTCACAGGCTGCTTCCTGGGGGTGGAGGCCTGGTCGAGGACCGGGCCGCGGGGACACTAAAGCCCCGAAATCATCTCAAGATAACCTCAAGATATTGAAAAAGACTACTGACCTGATGAAATACCAACTAATTACGGAGAAGCTGAAATATTATCTCTCTCTGCAAGAGGTTTGACCTTTCTTCTTACTCTGCACTAAATGCCTTTAGATACTGTATGGAGGATCATGGACGCCGCATCCCCCAAGATTTACACTCATTACTGAGCTGGTTACAAGTTATTCCTCACACTGCTGAGTGTGAGCGGGGATTCAGTTCCATGAACCTGATAATAACAATACACTCAAGAATTCTCATAAATCATGTATCAGCACTTATATTTGTTAAACTACATGGACCTCCTATAGTTCAGTGGAATTCTGAGCCATATGGCTGCGGTACCACAGATTGGCAGATGACACCAGGACAAGAGTCGCTCCACACCACCGAAAACATCTCACAGCTGACCCTTTGTGGAGACTATTGTGAAACTTCTCACTGGTTGTATTTTGTGAGCACTAAGTGTTTTAACTTCTTAAATTGATAATAACATAATTTAAGTTTTTCTTTATTTGTGAGATAATTATATTTTATCATAATTAGTGAGCACAAACAAGAAATACTTAATCGTGTGACATATATTGAAACAGGATAGGAAATGACAGGCTTTTCAGGCCCATCAGAGCTCCGGCACCTATAAAATTGGCACAATATCCAAAAGGGGCATTTGTTCAACTCTGAATTAACATTATCAATATTAATTCAAAGGTAACTCAACATTATCAGTGTTAATTCAGAGCTGAATTAATGTTGGGAGATATTTATTTGGCATTGAATTGCTGTTGCTCTTGGATAATGTGCCCACTGGGAACAGTTTACTTCCTGACATCTATATAACATAAACAGGCTTTCTGTCCTCGAACTCTGGGAAATCATAGGTGAACCATAACATGATCTGCCAAATGTCTTAGTTCCCCATATAAAAATCCAGATCCTTTTGCATGCAATGGAAGTGAGCTGACCACTACACCACACATGGCTTCTTCACACATTGTTTCAATATAAAAGACTATGTTCTTTATGTTCTATGTTTAACCAATATGTTCTATTTCTCTTAAGCACAGTTGCTGAAGCAAGAGCAGTGCTTTTTCTATACCTGCAGCAAACATGTGGTGGAAGTAGACGTAAAAGTCTAGCAATTTTGCCTGTATACTGCTACTGTGCTTTTCTTTTTATGTACAAGTGGATGAAGTACAAATGTCAGAAGTCTGTTATGGCAACATCACGCTACATGGCTGAACTACAGATAATATAGTTCTTGAAGTCTTATCTCTATTGCATGGCAGTGGATGATGTCTTGTCACTTACATTAGGTTAAACAGCACCGAGTCTAGCCAGTAACTGAATATATGACTGCACAGCCAGTCTTGCCTCTGGCTACAACAAAATAGATAAACTTAACAGGTTTCACATACAGCAACTAATAATGGTATTCCTGTATAACTTTCTGCAAGATTTATAACATTTAAAATATATAAATGCATAAAATGAAATTTGCAGTTAACTACTACTGTACTTTTCTAACCTTACTACCTATATATATTAATTTGCTTTGCCTGCAGATAGTGCTAATGTATTATTATTCAGCTGGAAATCAAACTATCACTATCTCGGGAATATACAGGAAAAGGGAAAAGTTAAACTCGGTCCACAGTCTGTCATTTATTATGCTCTTATACTGTATCTATAATTAACATCAAAAAATACATTCTGGGCCAATCCAAATGTTCTTATATGGTTGTTCTTGGCAGTACAATAATAGTTCTATATGTACAAGTTCAATAATCAATTATTATCTAATTTGTTCAGCACAATATAAAAGCCAGCAGTACATCCCATTCATATAAATATATAGTCACAGAAATTGTATATCTACTTTTATATAAATTTCAGAAATGTTTGTAAAATATGTTTACCTTAAACGCGTTACAAAACCATAACTTGCATACTTTCTCCATTAATTGACAGAAAATGCTTACACATTTCCTTATACTCTACATCTTAGTAGATCAAAGAAACAAACACTTGTGAGGAAATTCATACATTCTTGACATTAACATTGAGATTTTTATTTTTTTGTACTTTTAAATGAATAGAGATCATTTTATTCAAACACAGTAGACATAAGTTATATTATTTGTTGGTAACTAGTAAACACAAAGATGATAATGCTATAATAGAAGAGACAGAAAATTCCTACTTGGTACAATTCAACATTTAGGAGGGCATAAGTTCCCCATAACCGTGAATAGATAATAAACTAAAAAACATTAGTATAGAACATGAAAATAAACTTAAAATTACTTTCAACATAAAACATACAATAGTACCAACACTTGCAGGGTATAGTAAAATGGCTTTGGCTTTAGTTCCTTATCAACCAACAACAATCACTTTTCAAGTACAAAGGCACCATTTTATTTATATATAATATATATATATATATACATATATATATATGTCGTACCTAGTAGCCAGAACGCACTTTTCAGCCTACTATGCAAGGCCCGATTTGCCTAATAAGCCAAGTTTTCCCGAATTAATATATTTTCTCTAATTTTTTTCTTATGAAATGATAAAGCTAACCATTTAATAGTGTATGAGGTCAATATGATTTTATTGGAGTTAAAATTAACGTAGATATATGACCAAACCTAACCAACCCTACCTAACCTAACCTAACCTATCTTTATAGGTTAGGTTAGGTTAGATAGCCGAAAAAGTTAGGTTAGGTTAGGCTAGGTAGGTTAGGTAGTCGAAAAACAATTAATTCATGAAAACTTGGCTTATTAGGCAAATTGGGCCTTGCATAGTAAGCTGACAAGTGCGTTCTGGCTACTAGGTACGACATATATATATACATATATATATATATATATATATATATATATATATATATATATATATATATATATATATATATATATATATATATATATATATATACTGTATATATATATTATATAATACACAAATACACACACATATATGTATAATGTGTGTATTTAAAAAAAATGGTATCCAATTTTATATCATTTAGTTACTGATATAATTCCATTATGCAAGTTGCAAAGTGAAAGGTAAATTAATTAAACATTTATAAATGACTATGTAATAAGCTTCAATTTCTGGTTCTTCAGGCAACATATAAACGATTATTTTTATCATTATGCTAAAACAACTTAGCTGCAATGCCTTCTCCAATATTCAGTAAGTTACAAATATAGTTTTAGTAGTAATTCCATTATTTCTTAAAATGTAACCTTTCTCCATTACTAATAGTACTTTATTCCTTGCACAACACCACACAGCCTTATCACAGAAAGCAATACTCATCCACTCCTCCATAGCTATCATAACAACTGATGACTAACCATGTCTTTAAAAATTTCAAAAAGACATGTATATTTATATATAGTACAATAATGCATGGCAAATCAGACCTGCAAAATCCTCATCCTTTTCTGTACAGTTTAGTGAGTGAGCAGAGCCTCTTCAATACGTGCTGCTTCACTTCCTATACAAGTGTAGTGTATAAACAATGCTTGTTCATGGACTAGCAATGGTTAAAGTGTTTAGACTTTGTTCTCTTGAGCAAAAACCATATAAGGAACTCAATGGGGCTACTGAAAATAAGCTGATTATATAAAAATAATCCATATTAACAAAGTGATTTCTTCGAAGAGCAATACTTCAGAGACATTTTATTTACAAGCTACTGTCAATTTCAGTTCTACCTCCTTTGTACTACTGTACATCTAAGCTCTGAACCTTTTCAGAGCTTATTCTGTATTACATTTAAAACAATAAATAAAATTTATGAACACAAGACATGTAAGAAACTAAAATAAAATCAGAAATATATCTTTTAAATCATTGTAAACTGATAGTAAAGGTAATGAGTTGGAGTGTGAGAGTGAGAGCACAACTGCACACCAACAATCTCTGCTACAGCACGGGTATATACAATATCAGTAATAAAAATTAAAAGAAAATTTAAGTAGATGCAATATCATCAGCAGAAAATGTAAATGTCAAATAGCACGAGTCTTCTCAGACCAACATGAGTGTTGTGGTAAAGGGAACAGCCCAACACCTCATGCATGCCAAGCATAACCTTCATATTACTGAATAAATGGGCATTTTTTTTGTCCTATAATGTCACACTAATGCTGCACCGGTCTTCTAATTTGAACCTTGACATGAGGTTTGTGTACAAACTTTAGACAATAAATGCTGAATATTAAAAATCTAGGATGTTACAAAAATTTAGACAAAAGCAAATGCAGAGAATTCTTTCCTGTATGCCTGAAATAACTTATGCCATTTCATTTTTTCGTTCATGGCTGAAAGTTGTATGCTAATATTAGTTAATTTTCATTTTATTAAGTACATGCATTACGCTACCACTTGCAAAATTGAATAGTCAAATACTAATCACACAGAATCAGTTTCACTCAAATGATTGAAGAATTTACTAAAGGAATAAACAATGTACCTGGCCACATCAGCTAGAACAGCAGCAATAATTAAATCCGGTAATAGAGTTACCATTAATATAAGATGAGCACGAGAGCCCTCAACAGGGACGTCTAACCTGACTTACATGTACACATTCTCATGCATAATTCCTGAGTTAAATCATCTTGCATTATACAAGTATCATAAAATTTAAATGCTTAACTGCTGTATTATCAGTTCAAACTTTAATGATTATTATAGAATGGAAGGGAATTATCAGGGGAAAGTCCCAAGCCTTTAAGACTATATAGCACTGGGAAGGGGTCAGGATAAGGATTTGGGATGGGACAGTGGAAAGGAATGGTGCCCAACCACTTGGATGGTCGGGGATTGAACGCCGACCTGCACGAAGTGAGACCGTGACTCTACCGTCCAGCCCAAGTTTTTAGGCTGATTATTAAAGTGAAACAGGAATGATAAGAATTCAAAGTACTCAACTATTACTGGCACTACTTAAAGAGCAAACGTTAGTAGGGGACAGTTTTTTTCAGAATAATCCCTGGTAACATTAATACAGTCATATAGCCTCTGAGATACTGACAACAATAGACATGTTCATTAAAATTAATCTATTTTGGTATTGAACAGGCAAAAAGTAAACTAAAAAGTATCAACTGATAATAAACTAAACATGTAATGAATAATAAGATTTGCATGAAACTCAGCATCTTCCAGAAGCTAAAAACTGTACACCCTGAACCCCTAATGGAATGCATTGTGCAACCAAATGCTCCTAATGTCAACCATTCAATATAAGGAGCTTATATTTCAGATACATTTTATTGGTTTGACACTCCAAATACATAAAAGTTTAAAATATGCCATTGATACATTCTCGAATTATACTAATATTAATACAGTAGACTCAATGGATCGCTGTACTAAATGTGATTTTTGTACAAAGCTCTTTGCTGGAGTACCTACAATATTGTGTGTTGTTAAAAGAATTTCACTGTTTATTTTATTCTCTGCAGTTTTAAAAACAATTCACAGATGTCAAAGACTATAGTATCTTATCCTATTTATGATTCCTTAGCACCACGTAGTCTGTGTTAACCATGCACAAATACATAATACTTTCTTAGCACTCGATACTTTCGTATACCTATTTTCAGATACTGTATTATAATTGCCATAAATAATTTAGCTGGAATAGAAAATATGTTTTACACATCTAAATTAATGAAAAATAAAACTTTGGTAATATTTATAAAGAGCTTTAAATAAAGCGGGAAAGATAAACTGGATCACCAAATGTACTTTTACATAATATTTATGTGCATGAGGAAGATTGTCACATCTGTATGGACAGCTCTATGGAAGAAGATAATTGACTGCAATTTGCAATCACTGCCCCTGTAGTACCCATACATAGAAAATTGTTGCTTATACTGCCACCTGAGGACCTGGCAGTGAATAAGGTAAAGTTACTTCACACTCAGAATATTCTTATTTAACTGCATAATGAAGAATTTATACATGTCAGACAATGTATTGGTACTTAAGTGGCTATCAAAGAAAATTACAGCCAAGACATCATTATTGATCTACAGTAATGCACTGGGATTTGTGTGAGGTGCCCTATTAATCACAAATTCTGTCACAAAAACAACTTGTAGGGTTAGACTGCTCTATACACCAAGGGCTCGAGTTAGGGGTGTGAGGTGAAGACGCAACACTTGGGCATAGGTTAATGGGCGGTACACCTGCTCAGCAACTTCTTGAGCTCGTTGGTGCCAACACACATCTGTTAAGAAATTAATTTATAGTAAATAGAATTTTAAATAGATTAAAGTCTGCAGCTGTATTTCCTTTTCCCCATCAGATAGAATGGTAACCCACCAAAGACACACTATTCAACAATACCCGAGTATATATTTTCAACCTTACCAATAGGTCATATGATACACCCATACACCAATACCATACAGTTTTTCTGCTTTGCACTGAGCCCTTCAGTATAATGCAACTCATTCCAAAACACACTGTCATTTTCAATGAATAAATCTTAAATTTTCCTATGAATTTCTATATTTATCCTACTTCAGATGTTAGCACTTGTAAGGGATAATGTGACAAGTCTTTCAAGAGCTTCTCAGTAACAATTCTTGTACTGTGCATATTGTGACAAAAATATAACAATAATGCATTTAAAATGTAAAAAAAATCTTTTATGAAATTAAAGCTCTGTATTTATATAGTAAAAGAAGAAAATATTAAAGAAGTAAATATATAAATCCGATAAAATAACACAGTACTTGAATACAAGAGGTTGAGAGTAGATTAAGTTTAAAAAGGATAATGGCGAGGGCAACAGAAGCTCTGGTTAAGAAGAATAAGATAAAGAGAGAAGCAGGTCAAGGGCTGCACAAAGAGGTGGGTAATATGGACCCTTATGTACATATGTCAGGTAATGGTTTGCCATAAACATGAAAACTCTAGAGTAAAAAAACCAGCGTTGAATGTAATGAAATGCCATTTTCTGGGTGAGCCACAGAGGCTCCCTGGAGCTATTGGGCTAATATGCAATAAAGTAGACCAGAGCATGTTCAGCCTAAAGAGGACCACAAGCCAGAACCTGGCCCCCTTCAAAGAGACACAGAGCAATGGCCCCTGGAAAACCCCCTTGTGGTTGGGGGTTTTCCTTATCCGCCATCGACCGGGGTTAGGCACCCAAAAAGGTAGGCATAACAAAACAGACCCCACATGGTAGGAAAATTACAACTGAAAACCAAACACAGAGGCAGAACTCCCTCAATTCCCAAGGAAACAAGCAAAATGTCACACCTTCCCGCCGCGCAGCCCTCCCCTCTCCGGTGAGGGGAGAGGGGGGCCCCAGACCACCTCGTGCCGGCTACCCAGCAACTCAAGTTCAAGGGTTAAGAATTAAAACAACACGAAAACTGCCGATCAGAGAGAGGGAGGGTGCCAGCAAGCCTCCGGGGTTAACCCAGAAACCAGTGTTGAATGTAATGAAACGCCATTTTCTGGGTGAGACCCGGAGGCTCCACGGAGCTTACTAGGCTGATATGCTAATGTCAGACCTTGGCATCAGTCATGTGTATGGAGTTCAATGGGCCTACTGGGGACCACGAGCCAGAACCTGGCTCCCTCAGAAGAAGCAAGGGGAGCAATGGCCTATAGAACCCCCCCCCCCCCCCGGGTGGTTGGAAGCATTCTATGTCTGCCATCGACTGGGTCAGGCATCCAGAAAGGTAAGCATCCCAAAACAAACCCCTATTCTGGTGAAAATATAGCTACCAAAAGCCGAACAAGTGGATAGAACTCCCCTAAACGAAACGAGCAAATGATCATGACGTCACACATTGCCGCGCCGCTGTCTGTGTAGCTCCCCGGTCTCCCCGGTGGGAGCCGGTCGGCCGAGCAGACAGCACACTGGATTTGTGATCTTGTGGTTCCGGGTTCGATCCCAGGCGCCGGCGAGAAACAATGGGCAGAGTTTCTTTCACCCTATGCCCCTGTTACCTAGCAGTAAAATAGGTACCTGGGTGTTAGTCAGCTGTCACGGACTGCTTCCTGGGGGTGGAGCCTGGTTGAGGACCAGGCCGCGGGGACACTAAAAAGCCCCGAAATCATCTCACGATAACCCCCCTCCCTGGGAGGGGGAAGGGGGAGCCCCAGACTCCACACGCCAGCTATCCACCCTTTAGGCTGGATGTTAAAACAAGAGAAAAACGCCGACCAGATGGAGGGAAAGATGCCGGGAGCCTCCGGGTCTCACCCAGAAAATGGCATGGCATTTCATTACATTCAACGCTGGTTTTCTGGGGGGAGCCCTTTCAGCTCCCCGGAGCTATCTACCCTCAGCGAAAAAAACATAGGGACTTACCCAGGAGGCGGTACTGCTGATTCCTCAACTCGAAGTCGAGACAACTGGCTGTAACCGCCGACCCAAAGCGACACAGGCCTGACTAGGCCCAGGGACATTCACAAGGTAACGAGCAGCCAGGACCCTGTTAGACCGCCAAAAACCGTGCGCCCGAATGTCAACCCAGGACATGTTGCCACAGAAGGCAGCAAGAGCAGCGAACTTACGAATGTCATAGGAACAGGGATAGACCACAGGCTGGCTAGCCTTAATAACTGCGGACGACCTGGGAGACCCTCACCCGTGAACAGGGAAGAAGGGAAACTGGATCAACCCAAAGCGCGTCCCCGGACACAGAATCCGTAGCACGCAAATAACGGCGAAGAGCTGCAATCGGACACAAAACATGATGCACCCCCGGCCTAACCAACCAAGCATCCACAATCCAGGGACCCCTTCGGAAAGCAGCAGTCTTATTCTTTGCCAGAAAAGAAGGAGACGGCTGCAAACGAACAAAACTATCATGAAGATCGAAAGAGCAGAAACCCCTGCGCTGGAGGAGAGCATGAAGGTCACCAACCCAACCCCCAGAGGCCAATGCCAACAGAAAAAGAGCCTTGGAGAAACAATCCTGAACCGAAGGGGCCACAACAAACCGAGAAGAAGAAAGATAAGAGAGCACTCTGTCCAAGGACCAGAACGGCTCAGGCGGCACATGAGCAGGTTGGAGGTGAAACAACGCCTGAGATGGCTTGCAAAACGGTGCAGAAGTAACATCAATACCGAAAGCAAGCTGAAGCGGCTCCGCCAGCGCCACATGATACGAGGCGACAGTGTTAGGCATAAGGTGACGGTCCTGGAACAACCAAGAGAGAAAGGACAACACCACCCTAACACAAAGCGAAGTACAACGACGAAGACGTAGGAAGAAATGGAAGGACCGCCAGGAAACTTCGTACTACTGCCGAGATGAAACCCACAGGTGGGACACTAACAAGGAAGCCACCTGATCACCATAGAGATGATGATAAGCTTGAGCCAAAAATACCATACGCGAAGACTCGAGGAGAAGATCGAATTAGCCACGTGACGTTCCGGTCCGATCTGCTGGAAAAGGCGGAGTGGCGGGAAAACCTTCGGTTTCGGACACCGAGCAAGCAGCACCTGAAACCATGGCTGGGCCGGCCACCACGGGGCCAAGAGGACAACTCTCCCCTGGTAAGTCTCCAAGCAAGTCAGGACCTGGAGCAACAGCTGAACTGGGGAAAAGAGGTACAGGAACCCCCACCTCGACCAGTCCTGCCGAAAGGCATTGACCCGACGGCCTCGCAGTCGGTGAAGGGCGCCACATACAGGGGAAGGCGCCGCGACCACACCGACGTGATAAGGTCCACCTCGGGGCAACCGAACGTCCGGCAAAGCCAACTGAAGGAGTCAGCATCAACCGTCCATTCCGTGGAGAGGGAAACGAAACGGGACAGGCCGTCGGCCAAGACGTTGCACACTCCCTGCACGTGAACGGCCAGGAGAGCCAAACCCCAAGAATTCAGCAGACGAGTCACCCGAAGGGACTAGCCTCAAAAAGCCCAGGATTGCATCGAACCCCTCGGTTCAGGCAATGAACCACCAAGGAGCAGTCCGAATGAAGACGGATCGTCGACCCGTGGGCGACCCAAATCCTCTGAAGCGCAAACCACACCGCTGCGAACTCCCGCACCATGCTGTGGGCTTGACGGAAGGACGGACCCCACCGCCCCTGGCCGGCCTGGTGAGCACACGTCACAAAGCCCCAACTGAGAGATGAGGCGTCCGTGAACACATCGAGCGAGGGCTCGGGCAGGCACCAAGGCACCAAACCCTGAAAAACCCGAGGAGGAAGCCAGCGATGCAGCAGCCGACACAAGGGCCCCGGGGGTCGAACCCAGTGATCGCAAGAGAGGTGGAAAGGGCGTCCCCGAAGGAACCAGAACAGCTGACGAAGCCAAACCCGACCTGGCAGGTAGACCAACATCGCGAAGTTCTGGCTCCCACACAAACCCTTGAGCAACCGCCGGGTGACCTGGGAGCCCCTCAGAAACAGGCGCAAGCGCGACTGCAGCCGCAGAAGAGAATCCAGAGGAAGAGACAAGGAAGCGGTCTGAGAGTCCCACACAAGACCCAGCCAGGACCGAACCTGGGAGGGCACCAGATGGGAGTTCCTCCAGTTCACCAAAAACCCGAACCCGGCGAGCTGGGAAAGAACCAAATCCCTGGCTAGCAGACAACTGGACCGGCTGGGATTCCAAACCAGCCAGTCGTCGAGGTAGGCCAACACTTGAACACCTAGAAGACGCAGACGGGCCCCGACAACCCGCGTAAGGCACGTGAACAAGCAAGGTGCCAGCTTCAACCCGAACGGGAGACAACGAAAGCGGTAACCTCGACACCCCACAACAAAACCGAGCCAGTCCTTGAACCCCAGATGAATCGAGACATGCCAGTAAGCGTCCCGGAGGTCCAGGGACACCATCCAAGAACCCAGCTCCAATAGGAGCCGAACCTGAGACAGCGTAGTCATCCGAAAGGAGGGGCAATGAACCCAGGGGTTCAGATGGGACAAGTCCAGAATGAACCTCAGGTCCCCACAGTCCTGTTTTGGCACTGGAAACAGACGGGAAATCCATCTGAAGGATGACGTCGTTTTGACGACGCCCAAACGAACCCACTCTAAGAAGACTCGACGGAGCGCAGGAGAAGAAGCCTGCAATGCCAGCTCTGAAGCCCCCGAAGGAAGAGGGGCCACCCAACGCCAATGCAGGCCGAAGGAAACGATCTGAAATGCAACTAAATTGTGGGACCAGGCGTGAGCAAACAGCATAAGCCTCCCCCCTCATCGACCCGTCAATGGGGCGAACAGCGAAAGGGCCGGCGCCCCTTACGAGACCCAGAACCCCCCGCACAGGGGGAACAGCGAAAGGGCCGGCGCCCCTTATGAGACCCAGAACCCCTGCACAGGGCAAACAGCGAAAGGGCCGGCGCCCTTACAAGACCCAGAACCCCCGCACAGGGCAAACACCGCACCGACCAGCCGAAGGCGGGTCTGAAGGCAAAGCCAAGCCCAAACCTGGCGTCAGTGGCCTACCACGATGAGAGGAACCCTGAGCCCTGGCATGACCTCTCCAAGGTAGAGCCCCTCCCCCTTCCCCCGGACCCCCAGAGAACCAACAAGTCCAATATCAGACGGCAACTGGCCGAAGCAGCCTGAATATACTGCGCTACGGCCACAGGAGCAAAAAGCAGAGGACAAAAGGGCGAAGACATCCTAAGAGCCAGGGGCCAGGCCGATTCCAGAGAAGGCAAGCACCGCCTATTGACACGCAAGCCAGGAAGCATAAAACTGGGCAACTGCATCCCGCAAGATCGGCGCAAACAGCTTCAACAAGGCAGCCAACGCGCGAGCAGCCGAGCCCAAGGCACCGGACCCTGGAGCGGCCCCAAGCGCCCCTACATCCTCCCCAAGCCAGTCCAAAGATAGCTCCAGGAGGGAAAAGAATCGCAAGGCCGAAGCCAAGAGGCCCCTGGCGTGCAAATTTTCGACCACCTACGCAGCCGAAAGGGAGGGAACCTGCACATGGAGCTGCAGAACGCCAACATCCCGGGGAAGGGCAGGAGCAAACAAGCACTTATTGAGGTGCTCAAGGTCGCCCCCCCAGGAACATGCACTGATGCGGGAATGACAGAAAGAATGCCACTCCTCCAAGGCAAAAATAGGACAGTCCGCTAGCCAGGATGACTCCGGAACCTCGTAACGGACCCAGAAAGAGAACGAAGTTCCAAACCTGAAAGACGACGGATCCATCACCGAGGCGTAATTTGGGTCACGCAGGAGGTAAGCCGCTAGGGCCGCCCGCATCGGTTGGATGCGGGAAATTATTAGCATATCAGCCTAGCAAGCTCTGGGGAGCCGAAGGGACTCCCCCCAGAAAATAGCATTTCATTATTACATTTGATGCTGGTTTTCTGTGGGGAGCCCCTCCAGCTCCCTGAAGCTACATAACTAAAGATAAGGAAAAGAGGGACATGCCCGGGAGGCTGCCGCCACACACTCCTCAACTCGAAGACAAGACAACTGGCTGCAACCTGTGACCCTAAGCCACACACGAACGTCCAGGACCAGGAATGTTGACCAAAGAATGGGCAGCTAGGACCCTGTTCGACCTCAAAAATCCCCGTGCCCGAACATCAGCCCAAGACATGTTGCCGAAGATGGCAGCCAATGCAGTAAACTTTTGAATGTCATGGGCCTGAGAATAGACCACAGGCTGGCTAGACTTAATAATCCTGCAGATGACCTGGGAGACCCGAGCCCTGGAACAGGGAACGAGGGAAACCGGATCAACCCAAAGCGTATCCCCAGCCACAGAACCCGAGGTGCGCAGGTAACGGTGAAGAGCCGCCACCGGACACAACACATGATGCACCCCGCCTGACGAACCAAGTATCAATGACCCAAGGACCCCTCCAGAAAGCAGACGTGTCTTTCTTCATCAGAAAAGAAGGAGAAGGCTGCAAATGAACAAACCAATTACCAGGACCGAAAGAGCAGAAACCCCTGTGCTGGAGGAGAGCATGAAGCTCACCAACCCGACCCCCACAGAAAGAGAGCCCTGGAAAAACAATCTTGAACCAAAGAGGCCACCACGAACCAAGGAGAAGAGAGATAGGAGAGCACTCTGTCCAAGGATCAGGACAGCTTGGGTGGCATTTGAGCAAGCCGGAGGTGAAACAAAGCACAAGAAAGCTTACAGAACAGGGCAGAAATGACATCCACCCCGAAGGCAAGCTGGAGATGGCTCCAACAGCGCTGCATGATACGAGGCAGCAGTGTTCGGCATCAAATGACGTTCCTGAAAAAGCCAAGAAAGAAAGGACAAGACAACCCGATCAGAAATAGAAGACAACCTAAGAAGAGAGAGAAAATGGCAGACGAACGCCAGGAAACTTCAGAAACTTTGCCGAGACAAAGTTCTCAGATGGGACACCATCAACGAGGCCACCTGATCACTATACAGATGGTGATACACCAGCATCAAAAAGGTCACACGCGAAGAGCGGAGAAGACCGAACCAGCCTCGTACCAGTTTGATCTGCTGGAAGAGGCTCGAGCCGCGGAAAATGCCACGGTGGAAAAAACAAGCAGCGCCTGAAACCAAGGGCCCAAGAGGACTACTTTCCCATAGTAAAACTCCAACTGAGCCAGAACCCAAAGCAACATCTGGACCAGGGGAAAGAAGTACGGGTAACCCCACCGACCAGACCAGGAATCAATTCTGCCCTTCGGTTATATTCATTTACCTCTTTGGTTATAACCGAAGGGGTAAATGAAATTTAAAAAGCCATCTCCTTTTACATGATTTCCTTGGGCAAGTGCTACGAAGGGTGATATAAAATAACTTTTCTTAAATCTGCAAAACGTTAAACATACACTATCGCCTTCTAAGAAAGCAATATACCATTACATCAAAATGATGGATAAATGAAATTTTTGCTCTATGGCAAGATACTAGAACCAAGTTGATTAATTTGTGCCTCACACAAAGGAAGGTAAGAGAACTCTTCTTAAATATATAATGTGACTAGCCTGAAGAATGACACAGCCAATCCTGCTCCACAAGAGATTAAATTTTATTTTTTTTAACTCCAACAGCAATTGAACATTCCAATACAATTATTTTTGTTTCATGTTCAACTATCTTTCATTTTTAGATTTTGATACTGTAATATTAATACAATAATTAGACAAAACAAAAACTGTAGAGTATAAACAATGAAGAACTAGTAAATCTTTGGTATTTTGTGTAAAGTACTGTAGTCATTAAATTCTAAGAGTCATTCTGAGATTTCTAGTTTGTATTGGTTCAAGCAAAATAATAAAATCTTAAGCATAAATACAAACTGAAATTGCTCTTACTGTACCTTCTTTCCTAACAACGAGGTGACGTATGTCAGGAAACTCTGGACTTGTGGGGGAAAACATTGGAGATCTGAGGAGACCAACAGGTTCAACGAGTGGTCCTTCCCAGTCTTGGTAATGTTCTTCATAGTCCATGTCAATCTCTTCCTCTTCCTCTTCTTCATCACAAGGATCTTCGAATATCTTCTTGGTAGCAATTAATGAAATTTTACATGGAATTTTAAGTGTTTGTTTCAGGGAACTCCTCACTGATGCCTTGGCTTTGAAAGTTGGCTTGCTTTTCTTTTTTTTCATTGAACTGCAGTTATTTTTACAATTGGGAGTTTTGACTGATGTTAACTGGGTCAAAGGGACAGATTCATCTTTAAATGGAACAGGTGAGGAGTATAGGTGACGAATATCAATGTATGTGTCGTCTAATTCCTCTTGATTATCTTGGGGATTTTTGACAGCCGTGCCTGTTCCATTTAGAATCTGCAATGTAAAACGATTATGTAGAGCGTAAGACCCTAATTTGAATCCTTCAATAAAAATATAAATATAAATATATATATATATATATATATATATATATATATATATATATATATATATATATATATATTATATATATATATATTATATATATATATTATACATATATTATATATATATTATATATATATATATATATATATATATATATATATATATATATATATATATATGGCATTAACACAAGACAGAACACTAGGGGATATTAATAGGGTATTAAAAGTATCAACACAAGACAGAACAGAAACAATGGGTATTGAATAGAAGTGTTTGTAGAAAGCCTATTGCTCCATATTTCTTGATGCTTCTATATTGGAGCGGAGTCTTGAGGTGGGTAGAATATAGTTGTGCAATAATTGGCTGTTGATTGCTGGTGTTGACTTCTTGATGTGTAGTGCCTCGCAAACGTCAAGCCGCCTGCTATCGCTGTATCTATCGATGATTTCTGTGTTGTTTACTAGGATTTCTCTGGCGATGGTTTGGTTATGGGAAGAGATTATATGTTCCTTAATGGAGCCCTGTTGCTTATGCATCGTTAAACGCCTAGAAAGAGATGTTGTTGTCTTGCCTATATACTGGGTTTTTTGGAGCTTACAGTCCCCAAGTGGGCATTTGAAGGCATAGACGACGTTAGTCTCTTTTAAAGCGTTCTGTTTTGTGTCTGGAGAGTTTCTCATGAGTAGGCTGGCCGTTTTTCTGGTTTTATAGTAAATCGTCAGTTGTATCCTCTGATTTTTGTCTGTAGGGATAACGTTTCTATTAACAATATCTTTCAGGACCCTTTCCTCCGTTTTATGAGCTGTGGAAAAGAAGTTCCTGTAAAATAGTCTAATAGGGGGTATAGGTGTTGTGTTAGTTGTCTCTTCGGAGGTTGCATGGCTTTTCACTTTCCTTCTTATGATGTCTTCGATGAAACCATTGGAGAAGCCGTTATTGACTAGGACCTGCCTTACCCTACAGAGTTCTTCGTCGACTTGCTTCCATTCTGAGCTGTGGCTGAGAGCACGGTCGACGTATGCGTTAACAACACTCCTCTTGTACCTGTCAGGGCAGTCGCTGTTGGCATTTAGGCACATTCCTATGTTTGTTTCCTTTGTGTAGACTGCAGTGTGGAAACCTCCGCCCTTTTCCATGACTGTTACATCTAGAAAAGGCAGCTTCCCATCCTTTTCCGTCTCGTAAGTGAAACGCAGCACGGAACTCTGCTCAAATGCCTCCTTCAGCTCCTGCAGATGTCTGACATCAGGTACCTGTGTAAAAATGTCGTCAACATACCTGCAGTATATGGCCGGTTTCAAGTTCATGTCGACTAAGACTTTTTGCTCGATGGTACCCATGTAGAAGTTTGCAAACAGGACACCTAGGGGAGAACCCATGGCGACCCCATCTACTTGCTTATACATGTGCCCATCCGGGCTCAAGAAGGGTGCCTCTTTAGTACAAGCTTGGAGTAGTTTCCTCAGAATACTTTCTGGCATGTCAAGAGGAGTACAGGCTGGATCACGATACACTCTGTCGGCTATCATTCCGATTGTCTCGTCCACAGGTACGTTGGTAAACAGCGATTCTACGTCCAACGAGGCTCTTATCCCTGTGGCCCGTGCGCCCCGCAGTAAGTCCACAAATTCCTTTGGAGACTTCAGGCTGAAGGCGCAAGGAACATAAGGAGTCAGCAGGCCGTTGAGTCGCTTCGCCAGTCTGTACGTGGGTGTGGGTATCTGGCTAATGATTGGCCGAAGTGGGTTTCCAGGCTTGTGCGTCTTGACATTTCCATACGCATATCAAGGTTTATATTCCCCAATGATCTTTGGCAGGTGGAGTCCGGATTTCTTGGCGTTCACAGTTTCGATCAGTTTGTTGACCTTTGCTTTTAATTCGGCTGTAGTGTCCTTCGTTACCCTTTGGAACTTATTTTGGTCAGAGAGTATGATGTTCATTTTCGCCAGATATTCGTCTTTTTTAAGAATGACATATATTGGCGACTTGTCACCTCTCCTGACAACTATCTCCTTGTTCTCACGAAGGCTTTTAGCTGCCGCTTTAAGCTCGGGGGACAGTACGGTGCTTCTGTAGTTGCCTCGATTCTTTCCTCCTTCTGCAATAAGTTCTGCTTGTAAGGTATCTTTGGTAGTGACCTTCTTTTGTGTCTCGAGGTCGAATATGTCGTCCAACAGAATTTCCAACTCTACTTTCCGGGCCATTTCACTCGGTCTGGACATAACATGACAGTTTATGCCCAGATTTAGGAGAGTGACTTGGTCCTCAGTGAGGTTAATTCCTGCAAGGTTCAGGAAGCCATCTCTTGGTCGTGGAATTGCCATAGGTCCTCCATATAATGTTGTTAGTTTCTTGATAATCCTTGTTTCAGTGCTGAGGTGATGTTGGTCTGTGAGGATGTCGAGGTGTTGTTCAATGCGGGTACGGATACTATGGTCGATGTTGCTATTTCTCCACTCGTTTGTAGCATGAAGTAGTTGCGTTTTGTTGTCTTTGATTTCATTCTCTGCCTTGTATATCTGATCACGAATCAGATCCTGGCGATATTTTATCGTGAAGGCTTGATTCCTTGCTGCTGGGTCGTGCATTTTAACATTAGTATATTTTGGTAGCAGTCTTTCCTGTAGACATATATTATTAAATATGACCGAAAAAGTAAGATTAATAATTCTAACACGAATTTTCTCAATCTTTCGTACATTACGCTTCACTGTTGGAGGTAAATAAAAAATCACTTCTCCAAAATTCATTTTTATTTCTAGTCTGACGCGACACGGGCGCGTTTCGTAAAACTTATTACATTTTCAAAGAGATGGCTTCCTGAACCTTGCAGGAATTAACCTCACTGAGGACCAAGTCACTCTCCTAAATCTGGGCATAAACTGTCATGTTATGTCCAGACCGAGTGAAATGGCCCGGAAAGTAGAGTTGGAAATTCTGTTGGACGACATATTCGACCTCGAGACACAAAAGAAGGTCACTACCAAAGATACCTTACAAGCAGAACTTATTGCAGAAGGAGGAAAGAATCGAGGCAACTACAGAAGCACCATACTGTCCCCCGAGCTTAAAGCGGCAGCTAAAAGCCTTCGTGAGAACAACGAGATAGTTGTCAGGAGAGGTGACAAGTCGCCAATATATGTCATTCTTAAAAAAGACGAATATCTGGCGAAAATGAACATCATACTCTCTGACCAAAATAAGTTCCAAAGGGTAACGAAGGACACTACAGCCGAATTAAAAGCAAAGGTCAACAAACTGATCGAAACTGTGAACGCCAAGAAATCCGGACTCCACCTGCCAAAGATCATTGGGGAATATAAACCTGGATATGCGTATGGAAATGTCAAGACGCACAAGCCTGGAAACCCACTTCGGCCAATCATTAGCCAGATACCCACACCCACGTACAGACTGGCGAAGCGACTCAACGGCCTGCTGACTCCTTATGTTCCTTGCGCCTTCAGCCTGAAGTCTCCAAAGGAATTTGTGGACTTACTGCGGGGCGCACGGGCCACAGGGATAAGAGCCTCGTTGGACGTAGAATCGCTGTTTACCAACGTACCTGTGGACGAGACAATCGGAATGATAGCCGACAGAGTGTATCGTGATCCAGCCTGTACTCCTCTTGACATGCCAGAAAGTATTCTGAGGAAACTACTCCAAGCTTGTACTAAAGAGGCACCCTTCTTGAGCCCGGATGGGCACATGTATAAGCAAGTAGATGGGGTCGCCATGGGTTCTCCCCTAGGTGTCCTGTTTGCAAACTTCTACATGGGTACCATCGAGCAAAAAGTCTTAGTCGACATGAACTTGAAACCGGCCATATACTGCAGGTATGTTGACGACATTTTTACACAGGTACCTGATGTCAGACATCTGCAGGAGCTGAAGGAGGCATTTGAGCAGAGTTCCGTGCTGCGTTTCACTTACGAGACGGAAAAGGATGGGAAGCTGCCTTTTCTAGATGTAACAGTCATGGAAAAGGGCGGAGGTTTCCACACTGCAGTCTACACAAAGGAAACAAACATAGGAATGTGCCTAAATGCCAACAGCGACTGCCCTGACAGGTACAAGAGGAGTGTTGTTAACGCATACGTCGACCGTGCTCTCAGCCACAGCTCAGAATGGAAGCAAGTCGACGAAGAACTCTGTAGGGTAAGGCAGGTCCTAGTCAATAACGGCTTCTCCAATGGTTTCATCGAAGACATCATAAGAAGGAAAGTGAAAAGCCATGCAACCTCCGAAGAGACAACTAACACAACACCTATACCCCCTATTAGACTATTTTACAGGAACTTCTTTTCCACAGCTCATAAAACGGAGGAAAGGGTCCTGAAAGATATTGTTAATAGAAACGTTATCCCTACAGACAAAAATCAGAGGATACAACTGACGATTTACTATAAAACCAGAAAAACGGCCAGCCTACTCATGAGAAACTCTCCAGACACAAAACAGAACGCTTTAAAAGAGACTAACGTCGTCTATGCCTTCAAATGCCCACTTGGGGACTGTAAGCTCCAAAAAACCCAGTATATAGGCAAGACAACAACATCTCTTTCTAGGCGTTTAACGATGCATAAGCAACAGGGCTCCATTAAGGAACATATAATCTCTTCCCATAACCAAACCATCGCCAGAGAAATCCTAGTAAACAACACAGAAATCATCGATAGATACAGCGATAGCAGGCGGCTTGACGTTTGCGAGGCACTACACATCAAGAAGTCAACACCAGCAATCAACAGCCAATTATTGCACAACTATATTCTACCCACCTCAAGACTCCGCTCCAATATAGAAGCATCAAGAAATATGGAGCAATAGGCTTTCTACAAACACTTCTATTCAATACCCATTGTTTCTGTTCTGTCTTGTGTTGATACTTTTAATACCCTATTAATATCCCCTAGTGTTCTGTCTTGTGTTAATGCCACATC